AGCATTCAGTAAAGCGTTCCAAAAAGCATCAACTCTTATTTGTTTGATTTTTACTCCACATAGTCCTTATGCCATATTAAAAGAATCTGCAAATCAGATTTGAGGTGCTGACAAAGGAATTGAGGAACCAAAGACTGTTTGAGATATCTGCCATGACACTGTTCACAATATAACGGAATTAGAGGCCCTATTTTGTTAGTGAGCCCCCAAGGTGCTAGAGGTACTTATGTATTTCATGGGTGACCATCCATCTATAAGAGTTTTGCAATAACAAGCAAGCAGATCCTGGTCATATTTGTTACCTTATCTACAGAGAATAAAGTGATTCCAAAGTTTGTTGTTTTTTTTTGTAATAAAAAGCATGTCATATCTACCTGCTCAGTGCAATGGTTTTGCACAGAGCAGTCCTGATCCTCCTTGTTCCCTCACTGGCACTCCTGGCTACTCCCCCTTGCCCAGTGCTCCCAATAATAAGCCGCTTGCTATGGGAGGGACTGGTGCATGCTCGCTCCCGGTCCCCACTCTATGCGTCCATAACACACATAGAGCTGCGGCTTGGCCCTGCCCCCCCCCCCGCTCCATACTTGCCTGTTGTGTGCAGTGGTTTTGCACAGAGCAGCCCTGATCCTCTGCTTCTTGGATCCTCTACTGTCACTCCTGGCCCCACCCTCCTTTTGGGTGCCCTCACAGCAAACGGCTTGCTATGGGGGCACCCGCTGATCTGTGTGTCCATTCGCACACGGAGCTATTGGCTCTGCCCCACCCCCTCTCCCTGGCTGAGATTGACAGCTGTGGGAGCCAATGTCTCCCACTGCTGTGTCTCAGCCAATGAGGAGAGAGAGACCAGGGACAGCAGAGGCTCCCATGCACATCACTGGATCCAGAGGAGACTCGGGTGAGTATTAGGGGGAGCTGTGAGGGGAGGCGCACACAGAAGGTTTTTTTTACCATGCATAGAATACCACTTTAATTACAAAAATGTTTATATTAAGGTAGAATATCATAGAGGATGATGTCAGTGAAGATGAGTAAACACCTAATTGTCCATTGCCCTTGCTGAGACATGTCTGTGGCTACATTTTTTTGTGATTTAGAATGTTTTCGAAAAAAAGAAGATCATATGTAATTTCTCGTTCCCCAGAAATAATTTCCCATTTTTGTACAAATCCATTGAAATCATCATAATGGCAGTCAAAATGTATTACTAGCAGAATTGTTCTCAAAGTGTCACTCTAATGTCCACCATTAAGTTCTCTGCAAATGTTTTAATCAAAAGCCGATGGAAGCTTCCAACTTTGCCTTCCAATTATGGCTGTCAGAAAACTAGATTGTAAGCTCCAAGGAGCAGGGCCCTCCTATCCCTCTGGTATTGAACTGTATTGTTGCTGTATTGTCTCCCGTTTATATTCTAAAGCGCTGACCAAACTATTGGCGCTATATAAATCCTGTATAATAATAATAATATAATAATTTGATCAAGCATACTTTTTGAAGGTATAGGAAATCTGTGCTTTTTTAAATACCAAGGAGCCTGTCAGTATATAAATATAGGAGCTGCCATTGTTTACTCTTTATAGAGCAAGATCCAGGGGATATCATTCTAATCCTTGTTTTAGAACACAGTAAGTCACAGATTTAGGGCTGACAGTATAAATGAAACATGTTACCTTCATGCATGTTCCTATGTTATCCCTACATTAGCAGGATGACATCCCTAGAGCTTGAACCTTAAACTATAAGGCTGCATTTACACAAGGGCGTTTTGAATCCCGCACAGAACTACTACGATTCTGCCCGCAATTTCAAAACGCTCTACTAAAATGACAAATCGCGGAACCATGTGTTCAGGTGCCATTCATTTTAATGGCACCTAAAAACGCACTCCAATTGTGTCAAACAGCATTGCGCAAAGGGTGTCACCCAAAAGAAGTTCAGGGCCATTTATTATGTGAGATTGCAGTGCTATTTAACATGTGAAAATCGCAGCAGAACCATACCATGTTTTCATGTGCCATTAAAATTAGTTAGAACCCCAAAGTTTATATATTTTTTTAAGCAGAGGCCCTAGAGAATAAAATGGTGGGTATTTTTTTTATGTCACACGGTATTTGCACAACAGTTTTTCAAACACAATTTGAAAAAAAAGAACTTTTTTGAATTTTAATGCACAAAAAACAATATAATAAATGTTTGTTAAAATATAAAAGATGATTTTACACTGAGTAAATAGCTACCAAACATGTGACGCTTTAAAATTGCACACGCTACAAACTAAATGTAAATTTAATTATCCATAGGTGACTATTTAAAAGCCTTTACAGGTTACGATTTTAGATTTACACAGGAGGTCTGGTGCTAGAATTAATGCCCTTGATCTGAACTTTGCAGTCATACCTCACATGTGTGGTGTGATCGCTGTTTACACATGTGTACGGAGTCCTCACCCCCCACAGCCTGTCATGTTCTCCTGTCTGCCTTCTTGTTAGTGCCGTGAGTGAGAGGAGAGATGCCGCTGACTTACCATCTTGCATCTGGTCCTTTCTTGTGCCCTGCAGCCCTATCAGTCCATCCAGATTGCGGTGAGCTGTATATCGCACCACCACTCTGACACCTGGAGCAGTCAACAGGTCATAGTAGAGAACAAAAAACAAAGCGCACCAACCTTGCGCATTACCTCAGAAAGCAATTCATAAATTTATTGATAAATTATACTCACAAGAGTAGCAGTAAAAAAGGCATATAACATCCAAAACCAAACACAGGGTTAGGGAGACACGTGCAAGTTCCACCTGGAAGGGAGATAAACTCTTGGTCTAGCTCAGAGGAAGAAGGGGCCCCCCCTTTGAAACACGTCATTTTGGAGCTGTGAGGAAGAAGGGACCCCCTTTCGAAATGCATCAGCTTGATCAAGAGTTTATCTCCCTTCCGGATGGAACTTGCATGTGTCTCCTAACCCTGTGTTTGGTTTTGGATGTTAAATGCCTTTTTTACTGCTACTCTTGTGAGTATAATTTATTAATAAGTTTATGAATTGCTTACCCAGGTAATGCACAAGGTTGGTGTGCTTTGTTTTTTCTCTAGTACAGTCTATATCGAACTTCCCCAGCTTCGTGTTAGAGCCGCACAACCTTTGATCAGTGTTGAATGAACATTTATCATTTTATTCGATTGGCCTTCTTCTGATCTGGGTCCCTGAGTGCAGGAGATGTTGGATTTGTGTTGAACAGTCTACAGGTCTTTCAGATGTAAGTGAGATATGGCATTAAAGTGTTGTTTTTAACCATACAATAATCTAGCGCCCTGCTCTGTTTCCTTTGTACACATATGTGTACGGAACCAACACATGTGTTCACCTTTGCACGCGAGCACAAGGGGACAGGGGCGCTTTGAATTTATTTATTTATTTTTATGCTGTCCCTTTAACTTTTTTTGATCATTTTTATTGTTATCTGCAATTTCACAATGCTCTGTTAAGAACACAAATCATGGAACCATGTGTTCAGGTGGCATTCATTTTAATGGTGCAGTTCTACCATAATTGTCGCATTATAAATCACGCTGCAATTGCAGCAAACCACATTACGCAAAGTGTATCGGCCAAAAAAACTCAGGAAATCTGCCCATGATTCAAAACACCCATCGGTGAATTCAGTTATAGCTCCCAACCTTGTATCTTGGCTCATTTAGGAAGAATTAAAAAGTGTAATATTAATAAAAACATAATTCAATACTAGAGATAAACATGTTTCCTTTGCCAAAGTAAGCATTACTTTTGTATCTTGACCAGCAAATTCACATGTTCTTTTCAAACCTAGTGATTATACATCCATATCCACCATATGCATAGCAGGTGCAGGCATCATCCCGATATAACAACTCAAAGTCCTGAGAAGGTTATGGCGCTGGTTCACAAGTGGATATGCGGTTTCCCCAGCAACTATACTAGAAGGAGATGGGAAACATAAGCCAAGGTGTCTTTCTCTCATCTCTCTCTAGTTTATAAATAATAATGGCAGCACTTTTCATGGCAATGTGAACTTCGAAAATTTTCAACTTCTAGACTTTGGCCTAAATACATATAAAAAGTGTTTCTATTATGTTTTACCCTGAAATTACCTTTTACATCTTCTATATCAGATCCAATGTTATACAGACTGGCTCAGTTGCACTTTGAAGGGTAACTCTACTTTTGAGGAAAAAATATAGCAAACAAACAAAAAAATATACCATATACAATTTCTACACAATCCATATTGTAATGCAATGTTATTAAAAATTATCTTTCCTTTTCAATCTGCAACGAATGTAATTTTCTACAAATGCCATTGCAATACAGCAACCTGGAGGTATTCTGTACACCAGCAGTCACTAATTGGCAGACCGTGGTCCGCGAACGGCCCCAGCAGCGCTGCCGCCTGGACCACCAGCCCGCAATAACAGATCCGTCACTGAGCAGGGCGGTCCTCACAGCAACATGACATCATGTGTGCACCCCACCCCTTTCAGCTCACTGTCTCTCTGGCTCTCGCTCCCTGCCTGTACACAAGTGTCCAGCAAGGATCCCGGCACAACTCCTGTCTGCCCTCAAGGTAGGGTGTAGTCTTACAGGGGCACTGTGATGGGCACTTTTTATATTAAGGGGCACTCTAATGGGCACATTTATATTAAGGGGCACTCTGATGGGCACATTGAATGTTAAGGGGCACTCTGATGGGCACAACATAGAATGTGCCCATCAGAGTGCCCCTTAATATAGCATGTGCCCATCAGAGTGCCACTTAATATAAATGTGCCCATCAGAGTGCCCCTTAACATAAAATAAGCCCATCAGAGCATGCCCCTTATTTTATGTTAAGGGGCACTCTGATGGGCCCATTTTATGTTAAGGGGGCACAAATGGGCACATACTGTGGAAAGGGGCACTCTGATGTGCATATGTGATGGAAAGGGACACTCTGATTGGCACATGAGATGAAAAGGGGCACTCTGATGGGGGATATGATGTAAAAGGACCTTAGATTGTACGCCCTTAGAGGGTTAGGGACTGATGTGAATGTACAATATATATGTAAAGTGCTGCGTAAATTGATGGCGCTATATAAGTACTTGTAATAATAAAATAAATAAAAGGGCACTCTGATGGTGAAATATGATAGAAAGGGGTACTTTGAGTGTAAGGTGGCACTCTGATGGGAATACCTGATGTAAGGTGGCAATGTGATGGGGATACCTGATGTAAAGGGGCACTCTGATGGGGACAATTGATGTAAAGGAGCACTCTGATGGGCGCACCTGATGTGATGGAAATACATGGCGTAAAGTTGCACTCTGATGGCGACACCTAATGTAAGGGAGCACACTGATGGGCACACCCTATTTGGACCTCAACCAGAAGAAAATTTTAATGACCGGACCACCTTGAATTTTAATTCAATACCCCTGCTGTACACCCTTGGTGTACAGAACACCCTAGAAATGTCATTTCCTGCTTTTGTGATTGGCTCACTGATTTTCCTAAACATTTGCTCTACGATACAAGCCAAATTTTAGCACTTCCTGCAAAAGAAATTTCAGTTTTGTTGAGATACTCTCTCAAAGGATTAAATGCATCCAAAGGGATGTGTACCCTGCAAGTTTTTTTCATTAGAACACTGAGAGTGCACCAACTGATTAGCTGATCTAGTTCAGTACAATGAACTAGAACCTCCCATTTAGAATCAGGATGCAAATGAAAACCCAAAACAAACAGCTATTTCTTCAGAAAATCAAAAGGTAGGAATCTGCAACAAAATCTATTAAACTCCCAACAATGTACATTGATCACCCAGAGGAGATTGTTTTTTTTTTTAACTAAAGTGGAGCTACTATTTAAGCTGGCCATAGACACTAGAGGGTAGTTGGAAATATGGACACAATCCACCTGCACTTTATTGCTGACCAACACTTCCCCAAGCACAAAGCTGCATAGGGAAAGAGGGTGTAGTGTGTCAGGACTTCTTAATCTGCAAATCATATGCCAGTTTCCCATTAACTCGTCTACGTTCTAATCACTGTCTTCAAATCTGCACATTGTAAAGCAGCTTACAGCTCTCATGTGTCAGGAAGATGATAAATGTATGTCATTTGTAGATTTGTGTATAAATATGTTATTCTCAGAACCAAAATTGTTTAAGGATTGGTTGCAGTTTGAAAGCTTGCTTTATCAGTCTATCAGTTAACTAAGAAGCCAGTCTATCACAGTCAGTAAGCCAATGAGGAGAGAGCAAGGGGCGGGGTGTAGCCACACTCCCTGTGTGATGGGACAATGCCCATTCATAGGCAGGGTTGGACTGACCATTTGGGAACTCGGGCACTGCCCAAGGGCCCGGGGTCAGTAGGGGGCCCCATGAGATGCCCCTGGTACCTTTCATAGGCTTTTTTTGGGTGTGGTTTGAGTGTGGAGAGAACACAGGGGCCCCATGATCCCCTACTGCCCGGGGACCCCATGAGTTGTCAGTCCGCCCCTGTTCATAGGAGAGCTGCTCAGGAGCGAGCCTGCTCGAGTGCCTCCATAGCAAGTGGCTTGCAATTGGAGGCACTCAGCTGGGGGGAGGAGCCAGGACCACTGGCAGGAGACCCAAAAAGAAGAAGTTCAGGGCTGCTCTGTGCAAAACTAGTGCACAGAGTAGGTAATGCAGGCCATAGATGGGGAGAAAACCGGCCGATTTTTCTTTAAAAAAAGAAAAATCGGTCGTTCAAGTGGCCAACGTTACCAGGAATGGTAAAAAAAAAAAATCTGCCGATTTTCATCCCGTCTACAGCCGGCAAAAAGTGTCCCTGCAGAGAGCTCCGCTATTTCTTTGACAGTGCTTTGACATTTATAGCGGCTGCAACAATGTATCTATTTGTATCCATTTCGGATACAGATGTTTTTATTTGGAAACAAATAGATATATTGTTGCAACCGCTATAAATGTCAAAGCACTGTCAAAGAAATAGCGGAGCTCTCTGCAGGGACACTTTTTGCCGGACTGGAATTCTTATTCTTCATCCTCTTCTTCTTCTTCCTCTTCATCCTCTTCTTCTTCTTCTTCCTCTTCTTCTTCATCCTCTTCTTCTTCCTCTTCTTCTTCTTCATCCTCTTCTTCTTCATCATCCTCTTCTTCCTCTTCTTCCTCTTCATCCTCTTCTTCTTCTTCTTCTTCCTCTTCATCCTCTCTCTTCTTCTTCTTCATCCTCTTCTTCTTCATCCTCTTCTTCATCCTCTTCTTCCACTTCTTCTTCATCCTCTTCTTCTTTTTCTTCTTCATTTTGTCTTCCTCTTGCAGGTCACTGCTCATGCGCAGATTTTTTATCGGTAATAAGATCGGCCGATTTGCCCATAATTGCCGCAAAAAATCGGCTGATCGGCAAAATCGGGCGATCTTTTTCCAACTTTACCGATTAAAAAATCTGCCAAAATACCGAAAAACGGCCGAACAATTAATGCACTAACGGGCCGATTTTCGACCCATCTATGGCCTGCATAAGTGTAACATTTTTTTTTATTACAACCTTTAAAATCAGTTTAACTGGATGAGTAGAAACAAACCTCTAACATTATAGGGGAACTTCATATAATCCAAATAATAATTTTGCTTGTGTGTGGCATTTTATGGTTCATTAAAACAGAAAACAAACTCTCCTTTAACCACTTGCCCTCCAGAGGATTTACCCCCCTTCCTGACCAGGCCATTTTTTGCAATACGGTGCCGTGTTACTTTAACTGACAATTGCGCGGTCATGCAATTCTGCACCCAAATGAAATTTAGGTCCTTTTTTCCCCACAAGTAGAGCTTTCTTTTGGTGATATGTGATCGTATTTTTTATTTTTTGCACTATAAACAAAAAAGACCAACAATTTTGAGAGAAAAAAAACTATATTTTTGAGTTTTTGCTATTAAACATGTCCAGTAAAAAAATCTTAACAATCAAATTTCATCATAAAGTTAGGCCAAAATGTATTTTGTGTCATGTCTTGGCTAAAAAAAATCCCAACACGTGTAAATTAATTGTTTTACGTGAAAGATATATCGTTTACAAATGGCGGTATGGATACTGGAATTGTTTTTTTTTTTTACTAGTAATGGCGGCAATCAGCGACTTAAATATAGCAAGACTGCTGGACTGCGGTGGGCATTTTGACACTGAGGGAACTGCTTTGTATGGCTCCCGACAGGTCTCTCCCCCATCAGAGATACTCCACGATCACTGGGCGACGGCGAGTAATCACTGGCCGGGACCCGGTGATTGACTGCCGAGGCTGCGAATGACAGGGCAGGTAGCCCCCAACCCGGAACTGCAAAATCAAGTATATATACGTGATTTTGCACACCCCTGCTGCCCTGTAGCAGTATTTCTGTTATAGGGTGGGAGGAAGCAGTTGTGTGTGTATATATATATATATATATATATATATTTTTTTTTTTTTTTTCTCAGAAAATAGGTAAAATAGGTGCAGGTACCCTTTCTCCTCATTCTGAGTCACCCCTTGTCATGCTCCCTACCCACCAGTACTGTCCCTTTTAGAGAAAACAGAATCAAGTATCATTTTTTGGAATCATTTGTATGGAATTTGTTAATGATCACAAGAAAAGCAGTAAAATAGGAAGCCAACAACAATACACCCCCCAGCAAGAATATATTGTTCCCCAAAAACAATAGACGCCCCCAGAAACAAAATACCCATCCAGCAATAATAGATTTCCAAGCTGTCAGCAATAATAGACCATCCAGCGGCTAGCAACAATAAATCCCTCCTTCAATAGTAGATCACTCCCAGCAACAATAGGCCCCTCCTTCAACAATAGACCCCGGTCAATAGATTCCAAGCAGCTAGCATCAATGGACCCCCATGCACACCCTAACACCCCTTGCCTTTAAATCCATCCCATGCTAGAGGTGCTGGAACTGCATTCCCCCTTATTCCAGCAGAAAAAAAATATATATACTGGTTAAAAAAATTAAAGGAACACTTTTTAATCAGAGTATAGCATCAAGTCAATTAAACTCCTGGGATAGTGATCTGGTCAGTTAAGTAGCAGAGGGGTTTGTTAATCAGTTTCAGCTGCTTTGGCGTTAATGAAATTAACAGAAGGTGCACTAGATGGGCAACAATGAGACAACCCCCAAATCAGGAATGGTTTTACTGGTTGAGGCCACTGACATTTTTTTCCCCACTCATCTTTTCTGACTGTTTTTCACTATTTTTGCATTTTGGCTAGGGTCAGTGTTACTACTGGCAGCATGAAGCGACACCTGGACCCTACAGAGGTTGCACAGGCAGTCCAACTCTTCCAGGATGGCACATCAATATGTGCCATTACCAGAAGGTTTGCTGTGTTTCCCAGCATAGTCTCAAGAGCATGGAGGAAATTCCAGGAGACAGGCAGTTACTCTATGAGAGCTGGACAGGGCTGTAGAAGGTCCTTAACCCATCAGCAGGACCAGTATCTGTTTCTTTGTGCAAGGAGGAACAGGATGAGCACTGCCAGAGTCCTACAAAATGACCTCCAGCAGGCCACTGGAGTGAATGTCTCTGACCAAACAATCAGAAACAAACTTCATGAGGGTGGCCTGAGGGCCTGAAATCCTGTAGCGGGCCCTGTGCTCACTGCCTGGCACCATTGAGCTCCACTGGCATTTGCCATTGAACACCAGAATTAGCAGGTCCACCACTGGTGCCCTGTGCTTTTCACAGATGCGTACAGGTTCACCCTGAGCACATGTGACAGACATGAAAGGGTCTGGAAAAGCTGTGGAGAATGTTATGCTCACTGTAACATTGTTCAGCATGACCGCTTTGGTGGTGGGTCAGTGATGGTCTGGGGAGGCATATCAATGGAGGGATGCACTGACCTCTACAGTCTAGACAATGGCACCCTGACTCCCATTAGGTATCGGGATGAAATCCTTGGACCCATTCTCAGACCCTACACTGGTGCAGTGGGTCCTGGGTTCCTCCTGGTGCATGACAATACCCAGCCTCTGTTCCTGGATGATAAAGGAATTGATACCATAGAATGGCCCTCTCGCCTGACCTAAATCCAATAGAACACCTCTTGGATATCACATTTCGGTCCATCCGACACCGCTAGGTTGCCCCTCAGACTGTCCAAGAGCTCAGTGATTCCCTGGTCCAGATCTAGGAGGAAATACCCCAGAACACCATCTGTCATCTCAATAGGAGCATGCCCTGACATTGTCAGGCATGCATACAAGCATGTGAGGGCCATACAAATTACTGAGTAGCATTTTGAATTGCTGCAATGAAATTTCTGCAAAATGGACTAGCCTGCTGCATAATTTTTTCACTTTGATTTTTGGGGTGTCTTTGAATGCAG